CGGGGGGGGCGGCTTGTTTTACAACGTCGTTGCCACGCGACGAAAACCCAACCCCGATGGCAAAACACCGGGCGGGGCGCGGTGGGGGGGGGTGGACTTTGCCGGCTTTGCTACAAGTACGTTGCTTTTTCGTCTACTGGAGGGCAGGAGACAATTCCACAAAAGGGTGATGAAAATTCCGTAGGTGTACGAACATTCTTCTTCTCGGACTTTGACCGAGGCACGAAGCCCACTAACGGCCCGCTGACTGAGAGATCTTTCGGGGGCGCTTTCAGTTGTGCCCAATTCTGAAAATAATGGTCCTTCGGTGTTTGATTCATGCAGCAACTCGGCTGATGCCGGGCGGTCTAGAATACAGGGGTCAGGTTTGGATGTGTTAACCATTGGGGTGCACTGCCGTTAACTTTCCGTTCGGCAACACGTTGTAGTTGTCCGGAAAGCAACAGCAGGGGTAGCGCCTGCGTGTCGTTCAGAGGGCGTAGAAGCGCTGCTAGATTCTGTGGGGGCAAAATTCAAGCCCTGCCGTCCTCTTCAGATCAAAAACGTGTCGCCGTAGTCTAGCCTACAGAACAAGCCCGCAATTAAAGAAGCATGTCAAATTTGGTTTGAGGCTCAATTTCTTGTTTCGTCGCCATCGTCGTGCGCAGGGTGATATATACCGGTAGAATTTAGTGCAGGATCCCGCGCGGAGCTGGGTTTCTTGTTGCCAAATGGTGGTTCTTCTTGACAATTTGAGCCTCTGTTTCTTAGCCTCTGTTTCTTTGTCGAATTGTACTTGAAAAATATCGTGTACTTTTCGGGCCCGTTCTCCTGTTTGTGTGTCGCGACTGCTGCAATTATGAGAAGAGCCCCGGTGAACCTTGCACAACAAATCGCCGTAGATGTACCGTTGCGGAGAAATGTGTGTCGAAATCGAACGCCCCAAGTTTATGTTTGGAAGTTGCACGCGGGGCTGGCGATCAACCTGCGCTTCTTGGAGTCAAGACAAGGATGTTCTCGTGGATGTTTTCATGTAGATACGGACTGGTTGCGCCGGCGTATTTTGCGTGTATCGTGAAGAAGGTATGATCGCATTTTTCGTGGGGTTTCAAGGTTGTCACCGTCGTTGCAAAGTGTCCGGTACGGCCTGGACCTGTCACAGCAAATTTGTTTTCTCTTGAGATGTGAGGGTACGTCGCCCTATGCTGGCTAGTTGTCGATTGAGTCCAAGCACACGCATGGATTGGTTGATAACGTTCTTTGTATCGGCAAGCTTCTGGCAGCAGTGCTATCAATGCTTGGGGTTCGGCCGTTGTCTCCTACCTGTTGCGGCCTTGCATGCCCCCTGCCGCACGGCCACCCGTGCCGCTGCTCTCGCCGCCGCTGCCACCGCGACTGGGTCCACCACAGGAGCCTTTTTTTTCTCGCCCCCCGCAGTCCGGTTACTCCCTTCGTCACCTGACTACGGGAACATGCCGCGCGGGACGAGGGTCGGTTGCCTGGACCAGCTTCTTTTTGCGGAATCGTGATGCTGCTTCATTTCATACACCGATCTGATGAATAATGCTGACTCTGCGGGCTAGAGGCACGTCGCATGGGAACGATCAAACTTGCTTCGGAGCACCAGCAAGGCGGGGAAGACCCTGATACTGCGTTTTCTAGTGATCTAACAGTCATGGTGGCAATGTGTAACCGCGACAGCGTCTTATCGGTTGTGAACAACGGTACCTGTCCTAGTCTAGCGTAAAATCATTGGGAACGGCGGTGTGTTTCGACAGAGCAAAAGGCAAGGCAGGGGCCTACACATTTCGTATATAGCCCCCTGGAGGAAAACACGTATATCAGGCCACGCAAAGTACGGTGGACCCGGTCGATTAACCTGCCATCCTGAACCATAGATCGTACCGTTCCTCGAGGCAAGCGACAACATACCGTGTATGACACAAGATATTAAACCCCCTGGACCGATTATCAAAGCTCGATTACTCCACGACGAAGAGGATGCGTAAACGAAACAATACATTTTCGGAAAGCTCTCGACAAGACGGTTTCGACGCCGCCGTTGTCGGCGCTGTGGCTGCTCCTGCAGTTGAGAAATCGAGCTTCGAAAATTGGTCAAGGGGGTGTGTTCTCTTGTGTCATATAGGGCATGCTCTGAATGCATTTCACAATTATACCAAAGGTGTATGTTAACCAAACCAGTCCTAATGTGAAAAATTTCGCAAGTGTTTCTCTCTGTTTTGCTCCCGCTCTCTCACAGTCGCGATCTTCCCTTCTCTCTGTCCTCTTGTCTTAACCTCATGGCCCTGTTTCTCTCCCCCTCGCTTACCTTCGGCGCCGTCGACGTTCCAACCGTTAATCTTGTTCGTTAGGCTCTTGGCTAACCGCTGGGCTACGAGTTCCATCGCCCCCCTTGCCGATTGCCCTGTACCTTCTCCACCAAACGCTCTCGCTCGGCGCGTTTTCACGGCCCCGGCTGCCCGCACGAAGCGTCCCGTCCTTCTGTTTGTAGGTTGAACACAAGGAGGGTCGCGGCTCATCCAAGAAGATTGGTTCGACGCCCGAACCAAACAGGATGCCTTTTGAACGGGAATATCGACCGGGGTTCAAGGTATGAACGAAAGATGGCATTCGTGACTTGCATTGCTACATCTATCCCTGTAGCCGCAGGCCAGAGGAGCACGTGGCTCAGGGGGGAACTGCGCCGGAGGTGAGGAGAGTAGTCTAGCCTGAATGGAACACATGTCGTATCACCAACGTGCATGGAACGGAGGGTGCTTCAGATCTCCACACGTATACAGAGCTGTTTACACGCTGTATCTGAAACTTTGTATTTCCGCAGCGAAGTACTATGGAAATCGTCGGCACACGCGCTTTTGAGGTGCTGTGGCCCTCGTCCTATCACGTTCGTCTTGTAAAAGGGTAGTGGATGCCGGTGGTTTACGTCTTTTCTTCGCCACGTATCCGTCGATACCAACAGAAACGAGAGATAGTTGTCTTGGCTTCGGCTCTCCCTCTCGTTGGCCTCTTTCTTCAGCCGTTGTGCAGCCACCTCCCTCTCGTGATAGGTCTCACGGACCTGCGCCGAGGCCGCGCGCGCTGCCTCCGCCTCCTTTTCCTGCTGGCGCAGCTGGCGCTGGTACTTCTTGCGGCGTTCCAGCAGTGCCTGTCGCCTCTCGTGCTGGGCTTTGTGCCTAATAGATGTTGTTGCTGTTCGTGGCGGACGTGTCGGCCGTCATTTGCCGGGGGAGCGTGCAGAGTAGAAGGGAAGGGAAAGACACAGGCGACGATTGGAGGCTAGAAAACGGGAGGGCAGTACCACGTTCGTGTGCTGGGATGTAGACGACGATCGGATGGAAAAGTTTGGTGAGCAAGAAAGGAGTGAATGGTGGAGCCCCCGGGGCAGGAATAGGGCGATGAGTCCGACCCGAATGTGTTGCAGTTTATCAGGAAGGAATATGGCCGCATGTGCTCTGTATGCTCCTTTGCTAGTCTGCCGGGTAGGTACATGGCGGCGCAAGCGAGGGGAAAGGCAAGAAACTCCGGACAAGAACGCCCTGAAAAGCATGAGACATGTGTAATGGTGGTCCTGCATCAAGACACTGTTGAAACTGTTCCTTGACTTCGAGAAGGCTCGGCAGTAGCGTCAACAGGAAAACGTTTTTCAGAGATGCGGATCTACAGTACCATTCTGGCCCAACTACATGCATTGGAGCCAACGGTGAGAGTACTATCTCGAGACGGAAGAAGCGACTTTATGTCTGGGCCGCTTTTCGCTCGCGACAACACTTGAGCTGAGTTGGGCACACAATTCTCGAGGCAAGCCAAATGAAGCAGGAGTTTCCGTGACGGCTATCGAGAATTCCTCCTCGATTCCGCACTTGCAAACCTTCATAAGAGATAG